TCTGCCCAATGGCTGTGTGATATGGAGGTTTTTTACATGTCAATTATATTAAACAGCACACAAGGGGCAGGAAGCAGAGAGATTTCTTGTCTTTATAACCACAGGAGAACTCTGGAGTACAGGTGCAATCAAAGCAAGCATCCTTATCAGCATGTAATTGGCATCTAAACCCAAAAATATCTTTTCTCTCAGCAGCAGTATCCTCTAGTTTCTTTGTGGTTCTAGTACAAAATCTGCTGTTCTATGCCTCTCATCACATACTCAGCTGCTAAGCTAATCATTTATAATCAACATAATTTTGTACCCACCACTAGTTTAAAAATATCAAGCATCCAAAACATATAATCAGGACCAAATGCATATTTAAAAACTCCTTAACACCCTCTCTCCCCTGAGGTGTGAAACAATAGTTGTTTTATCTTTAGAAGGGCCAAAGAATGAGACTCATTGTAGTGCTCACTTTACATCAGTGGTGAAATCAAATCAACATGATGCAGATTAGATGTGCTGCGCTGCCATTCCTGACAAGCTGCCAGTGTCAGAAACTCTGGAAAGCCAATTGACTGCAGACCTCTGGAGAGCTGCTCCTGCCGGATTCCTGCTGTCATTCTGAGCTCTGCCACTAGATGTCCTTTAAAAAACCACCTTCACCAACACACTGGCAAAGGCTGCCTTCATAAAAGCCAAGCTGCTGCTGCTCTATTGTGTGTCTGTGTGAAGGAGCGGTCTGACAGAGACTGCTATTCCTGTCTTAACTGAGGACCATCTCTGAACCTTGGTTGAACCCAAAGCCTGAAGTTTTTCTCAAACAAACTAAAATACACAAAGAGAAATAAATCTTTGGGATTTTCACTGGCATTGATCTGTATTAGCAGAGTTTACTTGGAAGAAGAGCTGAGACCTCTCACCTCTGAGGTCAATCCCTCTTCCCTCTGCCACTGACTGATACCCTCCAATCTTCAGTGTTTATGTTGTCTTAACCACTGAGAAAAAACATTATTTAGTCTGAGTGCACTGAATCTTCTAAATTTATATTTAGGCACCTGTAGTTCATTTCATATTACCTTTACAGAAAGGTACAATTTAATGTATACTAAGAGACTTTGCACGTGCTTCTTAGCTTACTCCTGACATTCACACAAGGGTTTCACTGGTTTGTTCACAGTATTGGATATTCATTGAATGTGGCTGCAGTATCTGCCAGACCAAACTCACAGGACTTTGTGAGACCAGAGTTTCAACAGGGATCATCTGTATTTGCAGAGGTAACTGATAAGCTACAGCTTGTACCAAGAAGGGACAGGTTTCATTTTAACACTTACAGAAATGCCATCGCTTGCCCCAGTGGTGAGATAAATGTTATCTGGGTCTGCAGGAACACCTCCATCTCTTCTTTCAATATATGAAGCAACATCTTCACGGATGCAATTTATACCTTGACTGGCAGTGTAGGATCCTGTAAAAATACAGAATGAGATGAGAATTGAGTGCAATGTACATCAGACTTTCTGTTTGCTAGCAAAATTCCTGAGCTAGTATTCTACAGAGTAGCTTGTATATGTGAGCCATATTTATGTGGACAGGTTTGCTTTTTTTCCATGGAGGAGGAAAGGGAGCTCATTTGTTCATAGAGCAAAATAATTAATTTGGAAGTAGATAAATACAGTAAGTATTACTAAAATAAAAAAATAACATACTGGATTGGTAAAAAGAGTGATTGCAAACCTATTTTTCAAACTGGGACAGCAATCCCATTTTTACTATCTTTCAGTTGATTTCTTTATGTTGCAAGCACTCCTGAATGTAAACAAACTTCTATTTAAGTAATGGGAACAAGGAACAGAGGTAGTATGTGCAATAGAAAGGAGAGTAACTTTTTTTAATCCATGATAAATAAAAAGGCTTTATTTGCAACATGAAAATAATGTATCATTTTCTCCCACAGTCTGAAACCAAAAAAGTCCTAAACTGCTTTTCTCCTTCCCCCACATCTCCCACAGCCACTTTTCAGCAGAAATGTCTAGAATCACCCCAATCTCATGTGCAGTTTACAGAGCACAGCTAATAGTCATAAATAAAATGAGATGTTAGATTCTCTGCTGAGAATGTGCAACACATAAAAAGTAAAAATAAGCCTAGGTCAAGGTGAGGAATGAATTCAAGCTATGGAGCCTAAGACTGATGGACAAAGAAGTGACAAGTGTACAGCTATTTTAGAATACTGTCAGGAAGCTGCAGAATCTTCTTTGCTTGTTGGGTGGAGTGGAATAATTATGCCTGACTTAACTCTTATCTCTCAGTTATCTGCTAGTAGTCTGCCTGGTAGGACTCCTGTGAAAGCATGATTTAAAAAGACAAAGAACCTTTGCAAGTACTGCACAAATGCATGGGACAAAACAGAGATTCAGGGCACAAAGTTCCCTGATGTCCTAAACGGTTATTTTTACAGGACTAGAAATTATACTGGGTCTGTGCACACGTTTTTGACCACAGCCAGGAGGATGCTGTTAAGGGAGGAAAAGAAACCTAAGCTGTCATTCTGTCTTGTGTTCCATTGGGTGCTGAGTCCTACCACTCTGAGGATCTACAGAATGTTTATTAATTGTACTCAGTTGATGGCTTTGAATAGAACCCGTGTTTGCGCTGTGGGATGTAAAAAATAAACACAACCCAAAAAGCTGCATATATTATGTATTTTTATATATAGGAGGGATGTCTCAAATGCCTGGAAAGATATGCCAGCTATCCCACATGCAAAGTAAGTGGTGTCAGTAGAATCCCGGAGTATTTGGATGTAAGAGAAGTTGAGGACACATCTGAGCCTTCATACATGGCCTGGGAGTAGCAAGACTCAAAACTATGAGTAAGGTTTTGCCAAATGAATGTTCTTTGGAAGTGAGGGTATTCTAGTTTACTTCCAGAGGAAATTTCATATTCATATTAACTTTATAATTAATACCTTTAAATAGGCAGGTACAGATATGGATGAGACACTTCAAATGGCTTTGACCGTATGTGGTGATTTCACCTTTGTGTTAGATTGCCAAAATTGTTGAAAAATAAGGTTCTGAACACAACACAGCAGGGCCAGTTTTTAATCTTTGCTTTTTCACAAGAAAGGCAATTTCTCCTTCTCAGCCGTGAAGAGAACAGCAGTAAGTTGTCAGACTACCAACAAAGTGATAGGGGTGATTTCCATTCAGCTGCACATCCCTGTGCCTCCAACTGCGTGTTTAGGGATGCTGTACAGAGGCTGATGAGCTCCAGAGGCCAAGAGGAGGGGCTGACATACTGTACTGGAGACAGGGAGGGTGGAGAGGGGACAGAATCCAGTACAGCACATCAGTAAAGTCTACAGTGGTTTTAGTTGTCAGGAATTTAGAGGTACAGCTGTTCTTGGCATAAATAATTTTAAGATAAAAATCATTTAGACTCCAGTTACTTACAGAACCTCTTAGCCACTGAATTTAGCCACTGAAATCATCAGGTTGTATTCAGCATTATCATCTTATTTGAATACTGCAAGTGTTTCAGGCCTACTTCCTCAGAATCTACTGAGCTAACAGAAATGATGGGAAATGTGTGATGTCCTGAAAAAAAGGAACATATTTCTGAAATATTATGCAAGGCTAAATTCCTTACATTTTCCTCCAACATGTGCCTGTGGTGTCCCACGCCACCATGCCCTTAAGGGGAAGGGAGCACCAAATTCTGAGAACTCCTTCCACATCCCTGAATTTAAGAATCTCTACAAAGAAAGACTGAGTCAAAATTCAAATGTATCCCCAGTAACTCCAATGTGCAAGAGTACTATGTGGATTTATTGTTCCAAAGTAAAAGAGGAAAGGGATTCATTAAGCAAGAGGAACTTCTCAGTTTTGATAAATGTGTTTTTAATGGTCTACATTAAAAGACAAACCAGTGACAAAGACAAAGAAGGTGAAGATAAAACACATTCTGTATTAGGCTGTGCTGTTAGGAATAGTCCAAGCTTGAAATACTGCTAATGCAATCACTGTTTATGTTCTCTTCGTTTTATTATGTTTTGTTTATTTTATTAAGTTTCACAGCACCTACTCTCAAAATATACCAGGGCAAATAGGCACTGCAATCACAAAGATTAAGAAATATGCCAATTACTGTAATAAATCCTCTGAAATGTCACTGTTTGCATACTTGAAAGAAGGTAAGTGTGCCAGATTCTTTGCTGCACCCAGCAGCTGTAGCAGTATCTGCAGAGCAGAAATTCTCATGGCATTTGCCAGGCACAGTCACTAGATGAAAAAGAAATTGTCTCTTCCATTTCCTTTCTACTAAATATGCAAAGTTTGAACTTATTTGGATATGACATGCACTCCTGTAGGAACAGTGGTTGAAGAACAGAGCTCTATAGTTCTTTCAAGAGTTATTTTTCATTGGAGAAAGAGAGCTTTGACACCTTCAGTTAAAACAATCTCAGCTAGGTAAAAGACTACCATCTTTCAACAGTGTAGCTTTCCTTTAGCAGAGGATTATCACCTTAGTAACTGAATTTCTGGTACCCCAGAAAACATACTTGAACTGATATTTCAAAATTAAGATCCAGGAGTGTGCACTGGATCAACTGAGATGGACACATATTGTTTGTTGACACCAGCATTACAGGAACAGTGGACTCCTTGGCAAAGAAAAACAACTGGAGAAGGTAAAATTGTAAAACCCTCCACCCAGTCTGCAGGAGACGCAGAGCTCCGGATCAAGAGATGTCACACCAACAGATCAGAGCCTCATTAGTACTCTCTGCCACTTTCCTGGTACATAAAAATCTCAGCATTCCCTTTAGAGTTATGCCTAGATGTTATTGTGGCAAGGGCTCCACAGCTGTATAACCCTCACCTTCTCCTCTGTGACAAGTCCCGCCAAAAATTTGCACCATTGGTCACCACCCACAGGTCACAGTGCAAACTTGCCCCATCAGCTGCAGCTACTGAAAGCACCTTTGTTGTTTCTAATATCAACAGGAGCACCTGGAACAGAGCCTTACCTAAGCTGTTTCCTCCACAACCCTGCAAGATCCGCCTGGCACGCTTTTTGGCATCTTCTGGAAAGCTCGGGCTGTCCAACAGGTTTGGGTATGTGCACAGGGCCACTACCTGGAGTGCCAAGAAAATGTCAATTGGCCACTTTTCAATGGTTATTTTAAGTTGATGATATTATGTGAACTTTCATTGGAAATGAAGATCACAAACACTGGCTAATTTAAAACACAGGTTATTGATGAAGAGTTTGCAGGTGGTTTTTTTAAGGGTTGTGCTCACAGAAGAGAAAAAATCTTAACCAGTTCCAAGTAAAGCTGATAAAAACAGTCCTAGAATTATTAACTATTTGTATTACAGACAGTAAAGATTCCAGGTGAGCTAAGCATAGTGCAAACACAGTAAAGCACAGTTAATTATTCCTATGTTATCTCTAAGCAGCTCTATCCTCCACTCTTTGTGTATTACTAGCCTACTTTTATTGACAAGAAATCAAGACTTTAAATATGGAGCAGAACTGAGAAACACAATCAAATTTTGAAGTCACAGTGACATGTTCTAATAATCCTTCCCCAAAATAACTTCTAGTTCTTACTGAATTGAATTCTTGGGAAATATTTAATTAAAAAAAGGAGTGGGGATATAGAACACAGTAAAAGTAGAAACAGAACCCAGCAGAATTAAGTTAATGAAGGAATGTAAGACACAAAGAATTGAGAGGTCTCTTTTGAGATCAGCTTAGTTTATTCCAGTCTCTCTCATTTTTATGCTTACATGGTGTAATATGGATAGGCTGTTGTCATCTTGTGGGACAATGACAATGAATTAATCCATGTGTGCACACAGTCATGGGGAGAAAGGATTTCCCATTTTATTTAATAACATTGGAATAACCTGCAATACATTTGAATAATTTATAAGAAGCTCAGGTCTATCTAGTTTGCTGCATAGCTTAATTTTATAATCTTATCACCTTAGTTTGGTAAGGCTCCCGTTTGTCCTGGAACTCTCTGAATTTACATTATTACAGACAGAAGATTTTACATGAGGGTGTGAGGGATGCTCAGAAAGTAAGATAATACTCATTTTAACCTTGTTTGTATTTTCGGAATAATATACAAATATGAATTCTGTTGGAATCTTTCCTAAAAGTTAACCGACCAGTTAGCTTGCCCAAAGGTAAAATGTGCCAAGTGAGACAGAGTACAAGTAGTTGAACCCAGCTACGTGTAGATTTCAAAGTATTCTCTCAGATGAAGAAAGGCTTTTGTTTTTTTCTTTAAAGAGAACCACTTCCTTTCTTGAACAGCATTGTTGATAATTAATGTGTTGACTGATAACACAGAAGTGGCAGGAAAAAGTATGGGTGGGGAATGATATGGAAACAAAGGAAAGCTACTGTGTTAAAAGAGGACAATCAGGGTATAGCAATCCAATAGAACTTTGGCTCAGAAATGAACATTTTAATTCTTTACAAAAGAACTATTTTAAGTCTAGCTGCATCTAGGGAATCATTTATACTAATGCTGCTATCAGGCAGCTTTAATGTATTCTAAATAAAAAGAATAATAATATTTCATAGTACTCTTACCTGACGGAGGAAGGTGATTGGTCTCTGTCCCATTGCATGTGCATCTCCAATGTTGGCTTTAATCACTTCAGTAAAAGGTTTTTTGATTCCCTAGAAAGGGACCATTCAGAATGTTTTGTTAGGGCTGAAGTAGAAGATTCATTTTTAGTATCTGTCATGTGGCTGTAACTAAACAGTGCCTGATCTCAGAACAGCTATAGTGTTTAATGTAAAGCTTAATGCATTTCTTACACAATACTGCCAGTAAATCTTAATTGGTTTACAGAAATTGTGTTGACTGTGACACATTTTTAAATGATAGGCTGGCTTTTTTTTCCTGCTAGCTGCAAGAGGCTGACTTGGCTGGAAACTACACTTTGAAGTAGAAAAGATGAAAAAAGGCATTTTGAATTGTTGGCATTAGAGCAACTTCTTTGAGACACCTAAGGGAAGAATGGATCAGTCAGGAAGCTAAAAAGAACTTGAGGATATTTGAGAAACCATCAACAAAAGAAACCTCAAGACCTTTAGTTCTTTCATAGTAAAAACAGTAAAGATACTGCTTGCTTGTTTATTTTATACTTAGATTAAGTATTCCTTGTATGATGACCCCACTTTTCCATGTAGAGATGTTTCACAAAATATATCATAGTGAGGCTCTGTATGATAAACAGCAGAAGTGCTAAATAATCACCATGAATATTTAAAAGCTTCCTGGTATCCAAAATCTGAACAGCCAGACATTTTTCCTGTGAGAAACTGAATACATCATGAGAACACAGGGAAAGAAGTTAATGAATGTTGATTAGCAATCACAGCTCTTTAAAAAGCAAAATAAAATAAGAGCATAAAAAAGGCAAGGAACTGACTGCTTGAAAAAACCACCATTGGTTTAAATAAAAAAGATTAATTGAAAGTAAAGGCCAACATTACAAAAAGAATAAGTGAGAAAGGCAATAATAAATTTAGAGTTGTTCTAATGTACATTTCAGAGATAGTAGGGAGGCATCCTAACAGTGACAGAATTGTCATGTGGACTAAGGAACTGCAAAATCAGACTGATTCATTTTCTGTAGAAAATTACCTGTAACAATTTGCTCTGGGTATGGACTCAGAAAGCCTCTTCCTGGTCCATGTATTTACAGCCAATTACTGGATCTGGATATAGAATATGTGGCTGGCAAGCCTTAACTAATTTTTGCTTTTCCACCGTGGACTACAGTGTTGGACTTCAATGACAATCCAGAAGCTAAATGTGAAAACAACAGTAATACAACTACTTACCAGGAATACAGATTCCCAGGTATGCCAAGATTTGGATATTTAAGGCTGCATAATCCCCAGTACCCCACTGGATGGATCCAGTCCATCATATATCCCAAGAGCCTTTGGGTTTGTTTTTTTTCTTTTAAAATTAAATATGGAGTTAGAAATGGCATTAGGACCAGACAATTTGGCTTACATGATCCTGACTGAAAAGGGTCAATTTTATATGGCCTTACATTTAGCAGCAATTGAAAAAAAGAAAAAGTTCACTTAAAATAATTGATAGTGACACACTGAGTCTATCAAGTCATATTCTTTCATGCTTGTTGATCTAAGTGAGCCCCCAAATTAAGAGCCACATTTCAGCTCTAAATAAAGAATTAGAAATAGGGATGCCAGATAGACATGATGCCAGATACACTTATTTGAGGCTGAAGTTTAGTAATTTATGATTAATGTAAACAGCTAAAAATATGTTCTGTTCTATCCGGGCTATCTGGGGTCCAGTGACAGCACAACACTGTTTCATTCTAATTACAAGCAAGTAGGAAGAGAAAGGTATATGTAGAATAATAAATTCCATTTGCTTGAAATGAAGAAAAATTCCCATATATTTTGGTTGTATTTGGTCCTTACAGCAAATTGAATCAGTTTCACTAGATTTGCAAAGTAATACAAATCTGTTAAGGAATATGGATGATACTTTCTTTGCCTTAAGTTAGGCAGTCTTAAAACACAGCAACATGAAATAGAAATACTCCGATTTAACAGATTAAAACCAAAAAAAACCAACTCCGTAACATAGAAATACCTTACATTAGACTAATTATAATTTTTTGCTCACGAATACTATTGTGTTCTGCAATAAAAAATAGCTGCTTGGTGAAATGCTGAAAAGCACCTGGCATTTTATAACATGCTTTTGGAGTTTTTATAGAGGTACAGCCTTTAAAACAAAGGTAACAGACCATTTTTCTGCCTATGTCAGGTTTATTGTAAATAATGTCATAGCTTATTAGGACTGATGCCATATACATCTTTACCAGGGCCAAACTCAGTGTTTTTGCCATCACTGCAAGTATAGAATCATCACCTACTCCAGAAACCCCACACTCCCTTTGCTTCTTAAAGGATGGAACAAATAGCAAAGGATACACTATATGTATGGTAAAATCTAACAAGATTTTATAGTTCTCTCACCATAAAATCTTGTTAGAGAAGGAATACTGTGTTTTCTGGGTGGCACACAGTTTCCACATGGGCTTAAAGGCCAATGGCCCTCTTGACTAACTTATATTTCTTGATCTCAGCTACAAGAGCTGTTGTCTTTTTTTGTCTTTCAAAAGAGAAATGCTTTTAAATAACTGGAGCCTTTTCCTTCCCTGACAATGAGTTAAATATCAGCAATTCTTTAGAACTGTCTTCATGAAACTTGCTGTATCCTCTCCTAGTGAAATCTATACAAAAATTGCTATGGCCATTCAGTATTTTTTTATTACCTGATTTCTAGTCTCTCTGTGGAAAAAAAAAAGGAGTATCAGAAGTTGTTCAGATTTAGTTTAGAACAAAAAGTTCTAAACAAGTTCTTAAAAAGAAATCTAAAAAAGTTCTTTAGAACAAAAAGTCACATCTTACAGTTTCAAAAAGAAGGAACAGAAAACAACAACAGGCAAGAACAAGTGCCGAATGTTAATGGGTCAAAGTCTCAAAGCAGGGATATCAGAAGCTGGCAGCAAGGGAAATCCAGACAGTGCCTGTGACTCTGCAGATGGGTTCAAGGCAGAATTCTGCTCAGATCCATCAGACAGAGCAGCATCAGTCACCGGCTACTTGTGTCAAGGTTTCACCCGTGGTGATGGATGTGGGAATCCAATGGGAGGGATATGCCAAATACTTTTTGAAAGGTCTGTGGAAAGACCTGTGTGAAAGGAGGAAATGTGAATGTGATGTTGATAATCTTAATATCAAATTGTAGAGCAGCAGGAAAAGGGCTGCAACAGGTCACAGATTTATTTCAGTGCAGATGGCTAAGCAGTGACCAAGCTTTAACCATGTCAGCAACACACCTGAGTGGAAACATGAGTTGAAGTTATGTCCCTGTAAGCTAAAGAACACACGGGGAGCAGGAACTGGGCCACTGGAGTGGCCCTCCTCTAGGGATCCCCCACAGCACTTGCTTATGGCTCATCCCCTCCCTCTCTCAGGATACAGGCAGGCTTGCAAGGTGTGCTCCAGAGGCAATCTGGCTGGATGGAAGCAGGCAGAACTATGCAGAAGGGAAGCTTGCATAACAGGAACTCTCATAACAAACTCGTGAGCAGTAAGTTCCAGACTGATTCTCCTGCCTGGTGAAGAGGGTATAAACCACATCAAGGAGGAGAAGCAATGCCCAGCCCTACAAAACAAGCTCTGCTCCAGCCTCCTGCCTTTGGCGTCACCTCACGCTGTGCTCACAATGTGATTCAGCTTCAGCTCGGAACAAGGCCAGGCTCCTGCCACTCTTCTGACAGTGTTAGCAAACAGATTCGTGATAGTAGCTCTTTTTTAAAGCTGTAGAAGCCATCTTTCACATGTGAAGGAGAAAATATAAAAGATGTACTTCCTTTTAGTAGCCATCTTCTGGATAATGAAAGGATTTTAGTGAAATAAAAGAATCTCCCAGGATTTGGATTATGCCCTTTGTAAACCCTTCAACAGTTACTTCTGATTCTCTGCTCTTTTGAGAGGAGATGCATCTTTTAAGAAACCTGATGAAACCTGAAGCAAGCCAGACACAATTATTCTAACAACTGTATCTAAATATCACACAAAGTTGGGAGAAGGGATTTTTATATACAAACTAGAATTCAATACAAAGCCAGTACAAATCTTAATGCAGTTAACCAGGTTTGGGGAAGTTTCCTCTTGCCCTAGACATCCCCAGAGTCCTGGGAAACCCATCAGGAAAGGACAACAACATAAAATGATGAGCTGTCTCTCAAGAAGAGAGTCTTGACACAAGAAGTGTTGGGAGAATTACTTGATCAAAGAAGCAATGTGATGCCAGAACATGGCACCCCAAAGAACTACCATGAGGGCAACGCCCTGCCAGGAGCTGCTTTGTCCCTTAGGAGCTTGAATGAACCTGGAGGTTCCCTTTACAAAGGACATCTGACAATGCTGGCAAACTGCAAAATACCAGTGTGCCCAGAAAGAGGAAAGAAGGGTGCAAACTGACCTGACACTATCTTTGTTAAATCTTCAGCAAATTTCAGAGGAAAACCATCAGTCTGGAGAGAGCATGTGTGGATTTGGTAATGGCAATAGGAAAGAATTGAAAAGAGTTCCCTTGAGGGGGCCACGAAAATGTGAGCTGCTTTTAATCCCAGAAGAGAACCTTGGTATTACAGCAATTTTTGAATTTCAGAATTTGCCTGCTCCTGGCTGCTCCCAATTGTTTCATTTTCATTGCCACTGCTTTGTGCCTCCTCTTGATGGTTATCAGGCAATAACATCACACTATGAAAGACTCTACTATTTCCTTGAGACTGCTTTTGCTGTGACTTGCACAAACAAGCTGTACAATCAGAGCTGGCAAACCCAAACACTTCAGCATAGCTGAGATCTACGCTGTAGTAGCCAAGTTGCTTGTTTGCTTTTTTCTCTCCTCCTCTCAAAAGGCAAGAAAGCACTGCCCAGAGGCCCTTAACTAATAGGGACCTGAAGACCTGAATTAGCATTCCAATCTTTTCATTGAAACAGCTCACAGCAGAAAAATAAACCTGACCTGCTTAACATGGAGTAAGGCTTTGAGTTTGTATTATGCTTGTGTAATTCAAGCTGACATGAGCTGTTTTAGGGAGGAAGGAGAAGGCAAATTCTGGATTTTGACTTAAAATGGCAGTGATGACTTGCATACCCCCTCATATCACATGAGAAAATCTGTGGGGCTGACCATTAATTGGCAGATCTGATTCAGAGACTACAGAAGAGGACTTATCCTCAAGTTACTTTTGCCTGACACATTGCTCAGAGTGGATATGCACTCAGAATTTTTGCCCATATAGATGAAGAACTAGATTTCATAACAGAATTAAATGACAGAATTAAAATAATGCTCATTAAAAAGTGATTAGACATTAAGACCCTCTTAACTTGGAGAGTTATTGGAAAAGGTCTATTTTAGAATAAATTTTGCTAATGTATTCAACCAGAAAATATCAACAGTTCTGTCTTAATGAGGTCAGATGCTCTTGCCTGGAAGATACTTTCTTCGTGTGCACACAGTCACGTATTCAAAGCAGAAAATTATAGGATGGTAATTTAAGCTTAACATCTTTCATTACTGGGTGTACCAGTCAATCTTGTATCTTTTTCTTGGCATGTTAAGTTATATTTCTGCATGTCATTGTCTAAATTGTGTTTTATCTTTCCAAAACTCCCAGGGACACAGTCAAATCACATTTACAATTAAGGCTGGATTCTAAGTCAGATTTTTTCTATTCAATTTAAAAGCTTGATGAATTAGTGAGGGAAAAAAAAAGAAAAGAAAAGAAAAAAAGCTCTACAGTATTTTTACCAAAATACTTTAGCAGAAGCTGCCTGAGATTTCAGCTACCAAAGCAGAAGGATTTTGGTAGTTTTATTGTCTAAATAGCAATGTAGGGAGTGAACAAGTGGCTTGAATAAACGTGAAACAGGAACCTATTTGCAATAATTATGCAAATGAAAAGCGTGGGCAAAGGAGATGAATGTACAACCCTTTAGCTGTAAAGGTAACAGAAAAATATGGGCTTCTGTGTATAGAAACTGTATAATGCCATTGAAGGCCCATGGCTCCAGGCCCAGGGTTGGGATGTGTTACCCACCTGTGCTATCTGAAGGAACTTCCTACATGCTACCAATTAAATACCTGCACACCATCCCTCTCCCCCTTTCCACCCTACAATTCTCTTCCAGTAGCTTGAAAGTTTGGAAGGACCTTGCGTGCCTTACACCGAGCCAGGCACTGCTCCCAGTGTTACCTGAGCTGACTTGCAGATCCTGGAATGCTGTTTAATGTGCACATGCTTTGCAAGGAGATGTAAGGCAAAACCTAACACAGAACTTGACATTATGTAAAACCCAATCAGGAACTGGGAAGAAAAGGAGAGTATAAGTGTAATGTCAGAGTAACAGATATGAAGGGATTTTCCATAATAAGGTCAGTTAAAATTAGCATGAATCCAAAGCAACAAATCAGGTATGTGTCCTGCCTGTGTACAGATAAGTTCATTTGTTATTACTGAATAGGTAGAGAAGGGCTCTGCTCAGAGATTGTGTTATCCTTGCATTGAATTTGTATTCAGGAGCAATTTTCTAGTCTGAAATGTAATTAAAGTCAATACTTGATACCATGGCCATCTGTTAGCAAGTCTACACAAAGGGGGTGGAAAAAAGGTCTTATTTGATTGAGTTCTATTTAGAATGCAATCATTCATTAAAATATGCCTGTAGTCTAGCTTGCTTTAAAAAGTTGCTAGAAACACTATGGAAAATGGTTAGAATCAGTTTTTTCTGTCATCTTAGTAAGACAGAATCAGCTGATTGCTACCAATAGCTAAGAGGAAGAGAAAAAGGGTTTTCACTTTTGAAGCATTACACAACTTCAAAATTATGAAAAAAAGGTTCAGGAAAGTAATTCAATCACTGATTTTGCATGAAGAGTTCCATCTTGAAAGACTTAATGTAGATAAAGTTCTGATTTTCCACCTAAATGAATACAGGTCACAAGACAAAAAAACTTGTGAAATCCAAGTACAGCACGCCCCACCTGTATTGGGCGATCAATCTTCATCTGCTTTAACTGAGCATTTTACTTGTCACTTACATTGGCTTAGTCCCAGGCATACAAGCTAAAACTAATGCCTCATTTTTAGTTATTTTTTTAAGTAATACCCCTTCAGTTGTCCAGTCAGAGACTTCTTGAGTAACATTTTAGTCCTCATTTCTATGTGCACTGTGGACTTAGAGCTCCTGTTGTGATCATTTGCAGTTAATATAGAGAAGCAGCAAGTGCCAGAGAGAAAAACAGAGGAGCTACTCTTTGGGATCTGAGACAGCAGAACAAACCTCAAGGAAGATGAAAGCTTCAAGTAGCTGTTTTATAGTCTCCATAACAGCTGAATGAGTTACACAAGAAGAGTAACTGAATGGAACCAAGTTTAAACAGGGAGAGCCTCTATTACATCTGATTAGACAATGGCTGCATTTAGGGTGCTTTTAGTTTAGAAACAAATTACCTAAAGGCATCTGGGCAGAACAGGATAAATGCAGATTTACTGCCATTGCTTCACCCCTGCATGTTCTTGTTACCCCCAGCACTGCAGTGCTTCCACCTCATAGCAGGGAGCCTGTGCTCTCCTGCCTGTGCAAAGCTCCTTCCCCATCAGATGTTGAAGAGTTGTTATGGGGCAATTCTTGCTGTTAGTGAAGAGTGGCCATGGATCTGGAGATGCTTTGGGGCATCCCCTTCCTCTGCCAACTTCAGTCTTTTCCCTTTATCCAGCAGTGTTAATTCTGCTGGCAGAGCTTGGCCTAACTGTGTGAGCTAAGATAGAGCGGGACAGAAAAAGCTGTACGACTTAATAAAAAGGAAACAAAGAAGCCATTGATGTGTGAGCACACAGAATTAAATTTCAGACACACACAGGCAAAAAATAGACAATTAGATAACCTATACGATTTCATTTATAAGGAACCTAGGTATTACTCAACACTGTATGCTTTTGCAGACAGCTTGATTAAACAAGAGAATGAATAACAGTATTTTAAACAGAAAAGCAAAGAGGAATGGGTAACTTGAGAAATGTGGAAGCAAGTATTTCTGCTTCCTTAAGTTGATTAGTGCTCTCTGCAGATACACTGTCTTAACTTTTGCACTAATTTTTGTCCTCTTTCCCAGACAGCTGGGAGGTTTGTTTGACTTGTGTTAAGGCATAGTCACCTCTAGGAATGCTGGTAGCCTTATCAATGGCAAACATTATTTCATGAGACTGGTTCCAGGAAAAAAAATTAAATGGAAAATGCCACATAAGTAGGCACAACACAAAACTGACATAAAACTCTTTTAATAAAGTGATTGACAACGATTGGTGTTATATTTTTTTCAAAAGCACACAGTAGGTTTTTCTCTCTGCCAGTGATTCAGCTGGTAACTGGAGTAAGCAGGGGAGTTGGGAGGAGTTGGTGAAGGGCCTTTTATATTTGTTTTGTGAAGTAATATCTCCTGCTCTGTGATGTTAACTTGAAAACAAACATACTCAGTGAGAACACTGGAAGATTTTATACTCTGGAAAATGTATCCACTAGGGAAACCAGTTTCATAAACATAACGACACCTTTATAAACAAGTTTAAAGGCAAAAATCAAAACAGATGTTCCAAAATTAATTCTCCATCACCATGCTGAAGTTTTAAAGTGAAATTCTAATTAAAAAAAAAAAAAAGGAGGCTGTTTGTAATAATTATTGAGTTAGACGTAAATAGTTGATGCATATACTACAGTGAACTCAAAACATGCTTCAACTTCTAAAACAAGGGGAACCAAGTAACATGACCAAAAAATTAATCTCTTCTGGTTAGAACTGCTGTAGCACATTTTTGTTCAAAGCACTTTACATGAACTAATGAAAATGATCTTGCAGTACCTGTAATAAGATATTAGAAAGACTCTCTAAAGCAGTAACAGCAGGGAATAATATATCAAATTGCAGAAAAATTACTCTGCCAGATGCTTTATTCAAAACAAAAATAAGCGAGTCCTTGTGATGAGAGGGGAAGCTGTGGTTTGAACAGTAGAAGCAAAAAGCCATGTCTGTATCGCTAAGGGGTATTTTTAATCTTTTTTTTCAATACTCAAGGAATAAAAAGAAATACAAAGAAAATAAATATAAGCACCGACCGATTTGGATGCTTTATTTAGCACATACTGGCCCAGACCCTTAGGATCTGTTTTATTATATGATCCGCCAAAGAGTACCAACCACCTACAACTTTGGGCAGCGGTACTGAGTGTTTGTGCTCTGAAGGTTTGTCCTCAGGCACCTCACCTTCTACAACTCAAAAAAAAAAAAAGGAGCAGATTATCGGCGATCTCCTTGGACGACCCAGAGCAGCGATGGGTGAGGCAGGGGAGCAGTGCCTGGGAGAGCCGGGCCAGATCACCTGTCAGGAGCCCGGTGCCTCCCTGCCCCAGCCGAGGCAGTATCTCTAAAATCCTCACGAACGACTTAAACGCTCTATCACTATGATGAAAGCTGGTCACTCACCCCCTTGTATAACACAAAGGACACGGGATTGCAGCAAAGGGTCAAAGTGGTCGGAGAAATGTAAACACCGCTTTATGGGGTGTCCCGTATCTGCCTTAGGCAGCCACTGCCACCAGATAAACAGTAGCCGGCCAGCGGGTTCCTTTGTTTGGTGCCTGCCGCCTGCCGTGGGAAGGGGCGCGGGGCCGGGGCCGGCCCGGGGGCCGCACAGCGCGTCCGGCCGCGGCCCGGGGCA